TCACACGATGAGCTCGGTCGTCACATGTGCAGGGGCCGCGGTAACACCCTGGGAAATGTTGATGAGGAGCATGGCGCTCTCGCCTCCAGTCAACTGCGTTCCGTACTTCTGGCACGTGGCGACGGCCAAGACAGATCCAGGCTTCCCCCAACTACCGGTGCCGTCGATCCCGGAAACGTAAGTGTACTTGCTGTTCGGGATGACGCTTGATATGCCGTGGATCGAGTGAACTAACTTCCCTGTGTCGTAGTCCATCATGTGGACACCGTCGTTCTTCTCCCTGAAAGACCCGACCCATATGTACTTCCCGTCGTCATCCGTCCACGCGTGGTCGCAACCCACGTCGTGGCCTACTTGGATTGACTTGTTCGTCAAGTCGGTACCCCATGCTCGGCGCGAAACGGTTTTGGGTGCCCCGTCATTGCTCACGACAATCTTCAACATCTCCATGTGGGACTCGCCTGTGTCGAAAGTGCCCTTACCTGTGTAGAGCAACAACATGTCAAACGAATTGCTGTTGTTCACGTCAGTCTTTCCGAGCATGAACCCGTGCACGGCTCCCGTGCCGCTAACGTGGCAAATCTGCTTGCCGCTCTCGTCGGTCAAGATTCCCGACTGGGTGCAAGTAGTGGGGTCGTCCGGCGAGCTCGTCTGGCACCAGTAAAGGCAATCGTCATTCGAAGGCAGTGAATCGTCGTAGAACTTCCAGACTGAGAAAAAACAATAACCGGAAGCATGGCACTCCACGGTGTTTACCACCTTGCCCGCGAACCTGTCCAAGGCGCTGACCGGGAAGAGGGTGGTGCACTTCTCCTCGTCCACCAGGTCCACGCCGCCGGCCCACATCTCTGAGGTATGGTTCCCAGGGTTCAGGAAAAACGGATTCCCTTCGGCAACTAAGAACCTCTCTGGCCCGCCATCGCGCGCGGGCGGCACGAACCACATCGTGGAGGGCGCGCTGGCCCAGGAGACGAACTTCATGCTGGCAGCCACGGCGCCGGCTGGAGCAGTCTGGATATCGTCGATGCGCCAGATCTTGTCCACCAGCGAGCCCGAGACGTACAGCGGCGGCGCATAGTGCCCTGGCTTCCGCTGCTTAGGCCGGAGCTTGGGCCCGTGCAGGAAGATGCCGAAGTCCTTCTGCACCAGGGAGTGGGCACGCACGGACGTGTTGGACCGGACGTAGCTCAGACCGGTCCAGCTGTCGAGCTGGAGGTCCACCGGCAAGAACTCCACGGGCGTGCCGAGGCAGCGGCCGTCGAAGCAGTCTGGGGTTGGTCTGCACACCTGAGCGACGAGAAGAAAGGGGCCGTACGCGAGACGAAATAGCGACCTTACGTGGTGGCTTATGCAGGCCGCCGGCGTGGCACGCTACACTTGAAACGAGGGCGCACGCGCGACCTTACGCGGGCAGCTTGCGCGCCTATGTCCGTGCAGACTGGGAGGCGGCCGTGGGGTCCGAGCTGGTGGGGCCGGAGAAAATCTGTCAAAACGAGGGGGGACAAAAGCAAATCCGCTCAGAATCGATCCCTGGCCCCCTCCTGGGGTCGACCTGTCTCAGTTGCTCACGCCCCGAATCCGTTTTCGACGGAGCTGGGGCCCGAAAGCGGCCCTATAGAGGCAGAAAAAGGCAAAACGAACCTCCTCGGACCCAGAGCCTCGAGCCTTGCCCGCCCCTTCCTGCGCACCGGCACCGGTGCTGGGCCACCTCGGACTGACCTCAGACCCCCAGCTGACTCCCAGTGCAGACGAACCTTACTAGCCTGGAACATATCCCTATCCCTATGCTGGGCACCTCCTCATCACGATGCCAATCTTAGGGATTCCCTTATTTTCTGAGGGCGAATCCCTAAGATTGTCATCGCCTTTTGGCGTGTCAATCTTAGAGATAGGAATACGTTCGAGGCTGGTAAGAACCTGTTTTTCTGCTTGGCTCGCCTGGCCAGCCTCCGCAGAGTGCCCTGCGGCCAAGAGCGTCGCAAGGAGCGCCGGGGCAGAGCCGAAGACCATCGGCGCAAGGCCCGGCGCCCAGGGCGGTGACTGTGCTTGTCCCTGAGCGAGCCCAAATGCCTCAGGCCCTCGCCCTCGTTCTTCCAGACCTTCCGTGCTGACCTTCCACACTCTTGCGCTTCGTGAAACGCTGACTTCTCTTGCGTTTCCGGAGGCTTTTAGCAGTTTCAATGCATCACCTTCCGCGCCTTCCGCAGAGGTCGGAAGGTATGGAAGATGGAGGTGGAGGGAGTGCCGCAATCAACCACACTTGATGGCACAAGACCTGATGGCACATCACCCAGACCCCCTCGGGTCATGAATTAGCCTGACGAAAGACCCAACCATACGTAGTTGTGAATACCGCAATTGTGGATATATCTTCGGTGGCGCCCCCGGGCCACGAAACGAGTGAGGGGTGTGCCGAAATGGAGGGGTGGAACCGCATGCGAGCGCAGCCACTGGGGCGCTCGGTGGAGCTCCCTATGGAGCCACGAAACGTGTGAGGGGTGTGCCAGGATGGGGGGTGGAACCGCATGCGGGCGCAGCCACTGGCCTTCGGTGGAGCTCCCTATGGGGCCACGAAACGTGTGAGGGGTATGCCAGAATGGTGGGTGGAACCGCATGCGGGCGCAGCCACTGGGGCCTTCGGTGGAGCTCCCTATGGGGCCACGGAACGAGTGAGGGGTGTGCCAGAATAGGGGGTGGAACCGCATGCGGGCGCAGCCACTGGGGCCTTCGGTGGAGCTCCCTATGGGGCCACGAAACGTGTGAGGGGTGTGCCAGAATGGGGGGTGGACGCATGCGGGCGCAGCCACTGGGGCCTTCGGTGGAGCTCCCTATGGGGCCACGAAACGTGTGAGGGGTGTGCCAGAATGGGGGGTGGAACCGCATGCGGGCGCAGCCACTGGGGCCTTCGGTGGAGCTCCCTATGGGGCCACGAAACGTGTGAGGGGTGTGCCAGAATGGGGGGTGGAACCGCATGCGGGCGCAGCCACTGGGGCCTTCGGTGGAGCTCCCTATGGGGCCACGAAACGTGTGAGGGGTGTGCCAGAATGGGGGGTGGAACCGCATGCGGGCGCAGCCACTGGGGCCTTCGGTGGAGCTCCCTATGGGGCCACGAAACGTGTGAGGGGTGTGCCAGAATGGGGGGTGGAACCGCATGCGGGCGCAGCCACTGGGGCCTTCGGTGGAGCTCCCTATGGGGCCACGAAACGTGTGAGGGGTGTGCCAGAATGGTGGGTGGAACCGCATGCGGGCGCAGCCACTGGGGCCTTCGGTGGAGCTCCCTATGGGGCCACGAACGTGTGAGGGGTGTGCCAGAATGGGGGGTGGAACCGCATGCGGGCGCAGCCACTGGGGCCTTCGGTGGAGCTCCCTATGGGGCCACGAAACGTGTGAGGGGTGTGCCAGAATGGGGGTGGAACCGCATGCGGGCGCAGCCACTGGGGCCTTCGGTGGAGCTCCCTATGGGGCCACGAAACGTGTGAGGGGTGTGCCAGAATGGGGGTGGAACCGCATGCGGGCGCAGCCACTGGGGCCTTCGGTGGAGCTCCCTATGGGGCCACGAAACGTGTGAGGGGTGTGCCAGAATGGGGGGTGGAACCGCATGCGGGCGCAGCCACTGGGGCCTTCGGTGGAGCTCCCTATGGGGCCACGAAACGTGTGAGGGGTGTGCCAGAATGGGGGTGGAACCGCATGCGGGCGCAGCCACTGGGGCCTTCGGTGGAGCTCCCTATGGGGCCACGAAACGTGTGAGGGGTGTGCCAGAATGGGGGTGGAACCGCATGCGGGCGCAGCCACTGGGGCCTTCGGTGGAGCTCCCTATGGGGCCACGAAACGTGTGAGGGGTGTGCCAGAATGGGGGGTGGAACCGCATGCGGGCGCAGCCACTGGGGCCTTCGGTGGAGCTCCCTATGGGGCCACGAAACGTGTGAGGGGTGTGCCAGAATGGGGGGTGGAACCGCATGCGGGCGCAGCCACTGGGGCCTTCGGTGGAGCTCCCTATGGGGCCACGAAACGTGTGAGGGGTGTGCCAGAATGGGGGGTGGAACCGCATGCGGGCGCAGCCACTGGGGCCTTCGGTGGAGCTCCCTGGGGCCTTCGGTGGAGCTCCCTATGGGGCCACGAAACGTGTGAGGGGTGTGCCAGAAGGGAGGGGGAGGAGGGAGGAGGAAGGAGAGGAGGAGGGAGGAGGGGAGGAGGAGGAGAGGAGGAGGAGAACGAGGGGCGACGTCTCTTCAAAACGAGGTCCCAACACCACAGGATGGTTGGGAAAAAAACAGAGGTCCCGGTGAATGGGTCCAGACCGCTGCGGGTCCACGTCATGAACAAAATCATGACGTCGGGGGTATGGTAATACAGTCGCCACGTACCAATCAACCGATCTGGACAGTGAAACTTCATACATGATAAAAACAATGCTGACGCGACACCAGGCAGGAGGGTCCTTCTGTTGGCGTAACGCACAGCAATGCAGAGCAATGACATGCAACGCGAAGCATAGCACGTACAGCGTGACAGGTGTAGCATAGCGCCACCTGGCGCCCCATGGCATGGGAACATTGTGCGGCAACGAGCAACACTGCCACCGACCCCGTTCGGGTCAGCGGGACAGCGAGACCACGGACATGAAAACGGTATGGGGAGGGAGAGGAGGACATGAAGACATGTTACCCTGAGGAGAACAGGATGAGACGGATGAGGAGGTGAACGGAAACGCTGATGAGAAGACGGGCCAACGCGGACCAAAGCGGACCGACAAGAGAAACACGAGCCGGAGGAGAAGGAGGAAGACAAAGGCAAGGTGAGAAGCAGAGGAGCAGGAAACGGGCGCCTTCGTCCAGCAAAAGTTGATGGACGCACCGTTGTCGCACTGCGCCGTCGTGGGGGGAGGCTCCAGCATCTCCGACAGGCTGTCGCCTCGGGGGATACAGGGGGGGGAGGAGGAAGAGGAGGAACAGGAGAAAGAGGAGGAGGAGGAGGAGGAGGAAGAGGAGGAGGAGGGGGAGGAGGAGGAGGAATAGAGGGAAAAGGAGGAGGAGAGAGAGGAGGAAGGAGAGGAGGAGGAGGGAGAGGGGGGAGACGAGGGAGGAGCAGGGGAGAGGATGGAGGGGGAGCAGGAGGAGAAGGAGGAAGACTAGGGGGAAGAGGAGGAGGAGGAGGACGACGACGAGGAAGGGAAGCAGGAGGGTGGGGGGTGGGGGAGACGAGCAGGAAAGGCGGAGGGGGGGGGGAGACGAGGAGGAAAGGCGGGGGCAGGGGGAGGGGGGGGGATGCGAGGGGGGGAGAGGCAGGATGAGAGCGCACCACATCGGACGGCAACGTCGTCCAGGCCCCTGGGCCGCGCGTGCTGTGGACCCGCCTCACAAAGCGGGAGGCGACGCTTGCTAAACAGGGGTGGTCAGATTACCTTCGCCCTGCCGCGGACGAAAAGGTCCGCAAGGTCCGCTGCTAAGAAAAGCAACGGTCGGCGGTGATCAGGCCCCACGGGGGCCCGTCTGCGCCACCGTGCGACGATTGACACTGGCTTTAGGCGCGCGATGGCGCGCGCGCCCTGGCGCCCAGTGGAGTGAGGTGCCGCTTTGGGCCCGAACGAGGAGTGAGAGTTACGGAAAAGTTGCCAACTGTTCGCGCAGGCCACCAAAAAATGGAGGTAGCACTGGAGTGCTACTCGTGGGCACCTAGACGCGCCTGATCGCTCGCCTAGGGCCGCGCCCAAGGGCAAGTGGACGTTTGGGCCTGGCGAAGGGCGATCCAGGCGGCCTGTACTCAGTGCACGTGAGGGTGGAGCTGGTACTCCCCGACGTGCTGGCCGGAGCTCGCATCCCAGCCCCAGTCGGCCAATGCGGCTTGTGGAAGTCGGGCGCAGCTAGCATCCCACCTCCAGTTGGCCAATGACGCCAATACGCGCATCCCCCCCCGTGGGCCAGTGCGGATCGAGGAAGTACTAGACCATGGACCTGGTGGGACTCGGGGCAGAACTCAATGATGTAGACGTCCCACGCATGGTCGTCAGGGTCGGCCGTTGCTCCTTCTCGTGATGCTCACCGATTTGCGACTGGTGCCGGTCATAGTAGTCAGCGACATGGTACTTGACCTGATACTCCCCGGCGGGAGTATCGTCAAGGTATCAATGCCCATCGTGCAGCTCAACGGCGTGGTGCTCGTGGCAGTGCCGGTCCTGCTGGTGCATGTCGAGGCGGTGGTGCGCCCGATCGTGCTGTTCAGCGATGTGCTGCAAGTGCCCGCCGTGGTGAGACGTGCTGCTCAGCGTCGAGACTCGGGTAGATGGAGGAGTACTCGCCTCACTCGTGGTCGTCAAGGTCGAGCTGCTGCTCCTTGGCGTGCTGCTCACCGATCCGCGGCTGGTGCCGTTCATGGTGGTCAGCGACGTGATGCTAACGGGCGTGCGCGTCCCACTCGTTGGCAGCAGAATCGAGCTGATGCTCTGGGGCATGCCGCGCGATGTTGGGATGCAACTACTCGTACGGGTGCACAGCCGCGCAGTCATCCGGGCGGAACTCGTCTCACTCGTGGCAATCGGGCTGCTCGAAGACAGGGTGCTCGTTGCACTGCCCGTCTCACTTGCAGATGTGAGGCTGCTGGTGCTGGATCCCGTCGTGCTGCTCAGCGTCGTGGTGCTCGACTCCGTTGTGCTGCTCAGCGTCGTGGTTCTCGACTCACTCGTGCTGGACCCCGTCATGCTGCCCAGCATCATGGTGCTCGACTTTGTCGTGCTGCTCAGTGTCGAGGTGCTTGTCACCAAGACGTGGTGCTCGTTGCACTCTTCGTCTCGCTCGTAGATGTGAGGGTGCTGGTGCTGCACCCCGTCGTGCTGGATCCCGTCTAGGAGGAGGCACGACGAGAGGGGACGATGGAGATCGGGAGGACGGCGAGGGGGAAGAAGAGCAAGAATGAGGGGCAGAACGGATGGAGGAGTCGAAAGGCGAGACCGCGAGGAGGGGGAGAGGGAGCGCGAGCGCGGCGGCGCAACGAAAGGAGGGGGGGAAGAGGGAGAGCTGGCGCGAGCTTCCCGCCCGGCGTCTCGCCATACAGCATGGTGCTGTTCACGGCGGTGGCGAAGTCGATGGCCGCGTCCTCCTCCTCCTGCGGGCACGCGGGGGTCTGCGGGTGGCTCTGAGGCCCAGGGCTGGCAAGCAGGGTGCGCGGATGGATGTGGAGATAGAGAGAGGGGGAGAGAGATGGAGATGGAGATAGATGATGATGATGATACTGATGATGATGGTGATGATGTCGTTGTTGATGATGTTGATGAGGATGATGATGTTGATAATGATGCTGATGATGATGAAGATGATGATGATGATGATAATGATGATGATGATGATGATGATGATGATGATGATGATGATGATGATGATGATGATGACGATGAGAATGATGATGATGTTGACGACGATGCCGATGATGACGATGAGGGTGCTGATGAAGATGAGCATGATGAGGATATGATGATGATAATGATGCTGCTGATTATTATGATGCTGATGTGAATGATGATGCTGATGATGATGCTGCTGATGGTGATGATGAGGGTGATGAGCATGATGATGATATTGACGATGGTGATGACGACGACGATGATGATGATGACGATTATGTTGATGATAATGATGATGGTGGTGGTGATGATGCTGATGAGGATACTACTGCTGAGGATGATGAGGATACTGAGGATGAGGATGAGGATGACGACGACGATGCTGATGCTGATGATGATGATGATGATGATGATGCCGCGCCATTAAAGGCGTGTTCGCTGCCAGACTCCCCCTCTCTGTGTTTCTTGTCTCTCTCTCTCTCTCTCTATATATATATATCTCTCCCTGAACGCTTCTTCACGGAGTAATTGATCTATGGGCTTGGAGGAAGATTAGCTGTCGCGTGCTTCGATGCTGTCTCTCACGAAGGTCCACGCGGATCGTCTGCGTCGGAGCTGGACCTCCACTTCTCCCCCTCCACCCCCCGATGCCTCAATCCATCCGTCCCTCTTCCTTCTCCTCATCCTCCTCCCTGTCTCCTGAGCGGGACCGTCGCAGTAGAAGCATCAACTTTCGGAGGGCCGCGCGGATCTCTTGGCTCGGAGCTGGGGCCCTCTCACCTCCTGACTCTCAGTCCCCTCCTCCTCCTACACGACACGGCGTAAGCAGAAGCGCTCGGAGGTCCGCGCGGATCGCCGTGCTCGGAGCTGGACCTCTTCTCGCCTCCTCCCCCTCCTCCAGCTTCTCCTCCTCCTCCTCCTCCTCCTCCTCCTCCTCCTCCGCCTCCTCCCTCGCCCCCTCGCCCTCAGAAGAGAAGACGCCCGCGGACATGCACAAAAGGGTCCGGAGGCTCGCGCGGATCCCTTGGGCTCGGCGCTGGACCTCTCGCCCGGCGCCCGAGGCGCCGAAGGGCGCGCCGCGAGGCGGCCGCCACGGCCAGCGCGGCGGCGCCTCCGCGCCGTCGCCGCCGCTCGCCGCCGCCGCTGCAAGCCGCCGCCGCCGCAGCTCGTGACCGTCGCCATCGCAGCCACGAAGGGCCAGGAGGAGGAGGAGGGAGGAGGGAGGAGGGAGAGGAGGAGGGAGGAGGAGGAGGAGGAGGAGGAAAAGGAGGAGGAGGAGGAGGAGGAAAACGAAGAGGAGGAGGAGGAGGAGGAGGACGAAGAGGGGGAGGAGGGCGAGGAGAGGAAGAGCGGCCGCCACCGCGGATCGGCTCTGGCCCGCGCGCGATGCACGGCCGCCATGGCGGATCGCCGCCTGCGCGGCCGCCGCTGTGACGGCCACCGCGGTTCGCGCCGCCGCCGCCACGGTCGTGGCCGTCGCCGGGTCGGAGGCGGAGTCCTGCATCGTCAGCAGCGTGGCCGACAGTCGGCACAGCTCCGTGTCCCGCTTCTTCTGCGAGCCCTTGTCGAGCGGCTCCCCGTGGACGCGGTCGATGGCTTTCCTGGGCAGGGCGCTCACTACCTTGTTTTACGCTCACCAAACTTTCCGCACCGAGGCTCACACCCTTTCGTGAGGAGAATGCCCGTGCACAGGATCCGTGTGGAGGCCCGCTAGGGCACAGAGAGTACGCCCACCTGGCCGGCGAGGGGGGCGACGCAGGCGATCCGGGTGCCGGCGGGCAAGAGACGCCAGACACAGCGAGACGAAGAATCAGTGTGTAAAGGCCCGCTGAGGCATAGGGCATGCGCCCACCTCCCCTACCCCTCCTCCTCCTCCTACTCCTCCTCCTCCTGCTCCTCCTCTTCCCCTTCCTCCTCCTCCTCCTCCTCCTCCTCCTCCTCCTCCTCCTCCTCCTCCTGGCCAGGACGGGGGTGACGGGGGTGATTCAGATGCAGGGCCCTCCTCCTCGCCTGAGGGGCAACGATTGGGGGGGGGACTGGCATGGGGGCGGGACGCATCGACCCGGCATCGGCGACACATCGCCGATAGATCGGCGAGGCGCCATTGGTAGCGAAGCCGCACGCAACGCTACTTGTCCAGCGTGCTACTGGAAAAAACAGCGCCACCCTCCTGTCTCATCCCGCCTCTTTCGGCGTCGTCCTCTTCCCCCTTTCCGCCGTCTCAATGCTGCTGTCGTGCTGTTTTTTCGGCTCCCCTTCCGTCCTTCTCATACCACCCCGCGTTCCCATCCCCGTTTCTTCGAGACGCTCACCCCCCTCCCGTCCTCCTTCTACCCCGCGTTCCAGCCTCCGAGCCTATCCGTTCACATGGCCTCACTCCTCGTCCTTCTGTCGCTGTCCTGTGACGCATGCAACGTGCGGGCGCATCCCCTGTAGCTCGCACAACAAATGACGACGCCTGCAGTGTCGTTGCCCATGCGCACTTTGGCCAACTCCTTCTCACTTGATGCAGGTGGTTTGGTTGCGTCACAGGGTACCTTCGAGAAAAAGGCGAGGGGGGACGGGGAGGGGGGGCGGGGAGGGGTGAGAGAACGGGAGGGGCGAACGGGCCCCCATCCCATCTCCCGCTCTCCCTCTCTTCCTCCCCCCCCGACACCTTTCCGAAGTGGGGCAGGGGAAAAGCAGCAAAAGGAGGGGGAGGAGGGCACGGGGAAACAGAAAACAAAGGGGGGGATGGGGGAGCAGACAGGAGGGGGGGGGGGGAGGCAGGGCCACGAGCACGGGGGGGAGCGGAGTCGACAGAGAGGGGAGGGGGGGGGGGGGGACGAGGCAGGGGCTGGGGAGCAGAGTGTGCGGGGGAGGGGGAGGAGGAGGAGGAGGAGGAGGAGGAGGAGGAGGAGGAGGAGGAGGAGGAGGAGGAGGAGGAGGAGGAGAGGGAGGAGAGAGGAGGATGAGGAGGAGGAGGAGGAGGAGGAGGAGGAGAGGAGGGAGGAGGGGGGGGTGGCGGGCGGGGGGAACGACGCAGGGCTCGGGGCAGGGGCGTGGAGCCAGCGCGAGGGCGGGGGGGGGGGGGGGGCAAAGGGGGGAGGCGTGGAGCGCCGGCCGGTCCGGATCGCCAGCGCCAGCGCCATGTACTCCTGCGGCGAGGGGGGGCTGCTGGCCGGGGGGGGCCTGGGGGCGGGGGGGGCTCACCGGGCGAGCGGCGGCGGCGCAGTCTGTTGAGCCTTCTCCTGCTGCACCTCCTGCTCCTCCTCCTCGTCCTCCTCCTCCTCCTCCTCCTCCTCCTCTTCTTCCTCTTCCTCCTCTCGCCCTCGTCCTCGTCCTGGTTCGTTTTCTCCTCTTCGTTCTCGTCCTCATCCCCCTCCTCGTCCTCGTCCCCCTCCTCCTCCCACTTGTCCTCCTCCTTCACATCCCTCTCCTCCTGCCCCTCCTCCTAGTCCTCCTCCTCCTCCTCTTTGACGCTGCACGGGCTCGGGCACACATGTGGGATACCGTCACGTCCCCTCGTGTCCCTCTGCCACTTTCGGCGTGTGTAGAGCCATTCGCTTGCAAACGCCGCACATTGCCCAGTGCTCCTCCTCCGCGCAAGATCAACCAACCACGGAGCGAGAGATCGGAATGGATCGGACTGCGCGCCATCTCAACCTGCATCGGCACGGAATCGGAATCGGATCGGATCGGCTGCGCCAGGATGCACAATAGCCCCATGCAAACATCGGCCCACATCGAATCGCCAGACAATTGGAATCGCATCGGACCGGGCCAGCCGGATGCAGTGTCGCACCAGATCGGTCGGATCGAGACGGACCCCGCAGTGGGGGGGGCAAAGGATAACGAGGTGGAGGAGGGGGGGGGTGGCGGAGCAGAAGACCCTGATCCGACACCACGAGCGAACTACGTAGCAACACCCTGCGGCAACGCTCTAGCCATAACGATCCGTGACGCTCCCGAGGCCCGATGCAAGACGACATCGCCCTCCGTGAACAAAACATGCGAGACCCGGGTTTTTTAGAGGACATCGCATCACTCGAGCTGCAGGTGGGTGCGCGCGCGTATCCCTATTTACTTGCTGCGGTGGACGCCTCTTGGAATGGTGAGGGACGCATGGGCTTGAACTGATGTAGTACAGTCAGCCCGCAGAATAAGGATGCGCGGTAAGGATGCAAGGGCCTTGGAGGGCCATGTGAACGTTTTTCGAATGGCCAGCGAAAGGCACCAAGGATGGGCCGAAGGGACAAGGATGCAAGGGTCCCCTTGGAAAGTTCCTCATTCTTACTAAGCGGGTTGAGTGTAGAAGTGGGACGTCCACGTCTCTGCCAACGTGCCGAGACGGAGGGCCGCGGAAAGTAGTGCCAGGCGCAAGGCGATTTAGAAGAAGGGCAGCTCCACATCCGCCTCCGGGCACTTCCCAAGACCCCGAACGCATGACGTTTCCGAGCTGCGTCCTGCCGTGGACGAGGGGCACTGCCTCTGTCTCAACTGGCCCTGCTTTCGGGCAGTGGGAGAACTGGGAAGCAATACTCCTCTCCGTGTTAGCACCTCGAGCAGGGGATCACAGCACAATCTGGCCATACTGCAAACCTCCCACAAAGGGGTCGGAGAGACGGCGGAGGAAGGCAATGTTCTACGCGGTGTTCGCACCTCGAGCAGGAGGATCACAGCACCATCTGGTCATACTCGAGGCCTCGCACCTGGAAGAGGACTTTAATTGGGCGGAGGATTTTGCCGCATCGCCGATGACTTTATGCATCGGAAATGCATCGGTGACGTCGGCGATGCATCGGCGCCGCCGGCGTGGAGAAATCGGGTTCCGCATCGAGCCACATCGCCACTGCATCTGCGATGCGGCACGATCATCCGACCCATTTACGGCAGGTTTGAACCGTGCCGACTTCGGCGCTGGTCTCTGACCCTGCGTGGATTGCTAGCCTCGCGCGAACGGCCGTTTCCGAAACGTCAAGTCTTTCAATATCGACCGATTCTGGGTCGCCAGCGGCATTCAACATTGAGCGTTGGCGGCGGGGTTGTCGCTGGTCGACACGACGCGAACGTACAATCCGGCACCTACCGGGAAGGCCTAGAGCGCGATCCTCCGACCCCACCTCTTTGGACCCCGTCCGGGAGGCCTAGAGATGTGTCGCATCGCCGTTTGTTCTCGACGCGCCCAGGTTTTGACGACGCCGACACCGCGGCAAGCTCATGGATTGCGTCCCGCGCCCTATGTAGACGAAACCGGCACCGCGGCAAACCCACGGCAAACCCACGGCGTCAAGGGCAGCGTTCGCCGCGGTGGCCGACCACGCGTCGGAACACAAACAAGAAAACGCGGCTGCGTGTGCAACGCGCCAGGACACGACGCGCCACCGATAGGGGCGACCCGCGGCAGCAACCGCCGTGAGGAGGGGGGGCCGGAGGGAGGGGGAGGGGAAGGGGGAGGAGGGGGACAGGAGGGGGGGGAGAGGAGGAGGAGGGCGATGGGGAAGGAAGGAGGAGGAGGAGGAGGAGGAGGAGGAGGAGGAGGAGGAGGAGGAGAAGGAGGAGGAGGAGAAGGAGGAGGAGGAGGAGGAGGAGGAGCAGAAGGAGGAGGAGGAGGAGGAGGAGGAGGAGCGCGAGTAGCCGAGCGCACAACGCCGTCGCAACTCCACGCTGATGGCAGCCCGCGCGAACCTGTTTTTTTCCCCAGCGCGGCGCGGGCACTCAGTCAACATCCAGGTCCACGTTAGTGGGTCAGACATGCGTGCAAACAGGAGGAGGGAAACCACAAAGAGAAGCAAGAGAAACCAGAGGAGCAGCGGCGGGCAGTCTGCACGACGAGTCCATTGTCCCTGGGGGCGCGCGCCCCATCAAAACCGGACCGCCGCGACCCGAGCGAATCGCCACCCCTGCGCGAGCCCGAGGCACCACCGCTCCCACCGAGCGACGGGCCCAACACGCCACAGCAGCAGAGCAGAAGCACAAAGAGGGGCACGCCCCACAACAACGAGGACGCGACAGGGAGGGGCACCCAGCGAACAGGAATCTCGAACCATGTCGGGAACCCGGCGCGAGGAGGCTGGCCAAGAGCGGGCGACAGCAGCAGGGCGCCGCAAGTGTCTCGAACTTCGTCGGGAACCGGGCGCGGGCGGGCGGGCACAGGGCTCTCGGGGGCAGAACGCTCTGGGCATCGCGTGCCGCCTGCCATCCATGCGCACGGGATACGAGCTGCCCATGGCACCTGGCCAACCACTAGCCACGCTCTACTCCTTGTACGAAGAGACCGACCGCCGACAAAACCGACGGGACGGTCAGGGAACCGAGTTTCACACGATGCCCCCCTGGTGAGTTGCCTCCCGATGTATTGCCCCCAATAATGCGAATCAGGTGGCGGTGATGATGATGATGATGATACTGATGATGATGATGATGATGACGATGATGATGATGCTGATGATGATGATGCTGCTGCTGATGATGATGGTGATGATGATGATGATGATGAGGATGATGATGATGCTGATGATGATGATGATGATGATGATGATCATGATGGTGACGATGATGATGATCAGCTGCGTCGTGGCTGACACTACGCCGAGACATACCCACGCTGGGTCGTGGCCAACTGAGTGAAGCTCTGCAGCTCCAGTTTGACAGGGTCGACCTTGGGCCTCTGGTGCCTGTGCCTGTTGACCTTGTCGAAACCAGGGGTGCTCTTAGCCTCCCGCGTGTAGCGCCCGACGGCCAGCATGATGTCATCGAGATCTGTATTTGTCACGCCGTTCCCATTGATGCTCTTGACGACCATTCCCGGCTTCGCGCTGGCCTTCATCGCGCGGCCCAATGGGCCCCCCTCGTAAATCAAAGTGGCTGGGCGACGCTCGTCACCACGGCGCCCTTCCAGTCCTTGCAGGGAGCATACCCCAGTATGCTGAAACTGGCGTCGGCGGTCGTGACCTTCTTCGACAGCCCTCTGGCGGAGGCTGTATGGATCATCGGCTCGTCCTCCCCGAGCCAGAGCAAGTTCTTGTAGTGCTGCGTCACCGGCTTGCCCCTGAACAGTTCGTTTGAGCAGGGACCGACCGTCCCGGCATTCCTATAGTCCTACCACGATATGTTCTTAGAGCCCAACAATGTTCTAAGAAGAAGAAAAAGGTCTTAGAACATAAACCCGATGTGCTAAAACAAGACAGGCTCCGCCAGAAATGTTCTGAGAACATCCCGTGGGAACCACTTAAGGTTCTTAGAACATTGTTTGGTGGGGCCATAGGCGAGCCAGGACGCTTCGCTTGATTCGTGGCAGGTGGTGCGCGCCTGCTCCTCCCTGCGCCCATTGTATCCCTGGCCAGGTCCCCGCAATCGGCGGGCCACGACGCTCGCGCCACGGCCTGCCGCCGCCTGCAGGCCGCGGGCAGCCTGGCTGGCCCGCGAAGGCCTCGCCGCGCCAGCGAGGCCGCCGCGGAGCAAGCTGAACTGAAGGGGCCCTGGGACACACAAATGAATACGCACAAGTAACAGGATTCCCCATCTTTTCCCATGCTTTCTGGGTTTTTGCCTTCCCCCCCACTTCCCATATTTTCCCAGATCGTCTTGGAGTCGACGATTCATTGTGCCTGTGTGCTTGTTTCCCTCCTGGTGAACATTGCCACCACGCCGCCCGCCGCCAGCAGCAGCGGGGCCGCCAGTCTGCGGCGCGGGGCCTGCCGGCCCTGCAGCGCCGCCGCGGCCGCCATCGTGGATCTCGGCTTAGGTCGGGCCTGTCCCCCTACAGGGGGATTTTCAACGAAAAATAAAAAAAACTTCAAACATAACCCAAAAACATCCAAAAATAGTCTGGGGATTATGTTGGGGCTATGTTTTTGCCTTTTTGGTGCATTTTTGGGGTATTTTTTTTGTCGGAAATCCCCCTGTAGGGGGACACGCCTGACATAAATCTCGGCGCGGCCACGGCTGCCACTGCGGGTGCGGAGGACGCAGAGAGGCTGCGCTGCCCTGCCCAGGGGGGCGGCTTGAGCCAAGATGGCTGCGGAGAGCGGTGATGTCGGCGCGAGTGCGTCGCCGCGCGGGTGCGGAGAACGCAGGGAGGCTGCGCTGCCCTGCCCAGAGGGCGGCTTGAGCCAAGATGGCTGCGCATGACGGTGGTGATGGTGACGATGGTGGTGGTGGTGATGATGAAGATGCCCCCCTTGCTAGTGACTCCCTGATGTACGGACGGACCGAGGGCAGAAGACCCCTCATCAAGAGCATGCGACCCTCCGCCGGCCAAGCTTTCGAATATTCGAGGGCACCCTCCCCCAGGATGTATGAGAACACCCAACAAGCACGAAGAACATGAGGGCACCCTCCCCGAATCGACCTCGATCTTTCACCTCGGTTCGGCCGTAGATCTCGCTACGTGTTCCCTGGTGGCTTTCGGGCTCCAACTCGGCTCTCCGGCGGCCGTTCGAGACGATCCAGGCACCCCCAGAGAGCTCTCGACGAGGCGCAGCGGTTGGAGAGCGTCACGAGGCTGGAAGGCCGCCGAGAACTAACGATAACCTCGGAGAACCACGAACCTCGAACCGGAACCTCTCGACCGCACTGCCCCCCCGCCCCCCTGTTTGCAGAGGCCCCCGCGAACGGCGTCCGCTGTGTTGGCGCAGGTGGTGCGTCTCTTCGGGAGCCGCGTGGTCGTCTGCGGCCAAGGGGGGCGGCTGGTACCTCTCAACACCTATGCCGCTGCTGCTGCTGCTGCTGCTCCCCTCCTCCTCCTTCTCCTCCTCCTTCTCCTCCTCCTCCCCCTCCCTCCTCCTCCTCCTCCTCCTCCTCCTCCTCCTCCTCCTCCTCCTCCTCCTCCTCCTCCTCCTCCTCCTCCTCCTCCTCCTCCTCCTCTTCCGACGACGACGACGACGATGCTGAGCTCCCCCTTCGCCCGCCACATCGTGCGGGCAGGATTTTTATCCATATGCGCGGCGTCTTGGAGCTTCGGGTCCCCTTCTCGAGAGACCAGATGCGCAGTGGACGTGGACAAAAGCCTGGCCCCCTGGGGGCCGCATGTCTACTGTATCCATGGGCACTACGCCTCGGCCCTCCCAGAGCGTCCACGACGCAGCGGAGACACGGCAAGAAAACTCACCCGAACGTCCGAAGAACATGCAGCTGCACGAGCGTAAGCTCTCGGAGGTCCGCGCGGGTTTCTCGGCCCGGCGGTGGCCCCGCCCCTCCCCCCCTGGAGGCGCTTCTGGCACCGCCCTGGCGCGCGAAGCGCGCCAGGGAGGATGGTCCAACGTCGACCCAAGGAATCCGCTCGAACCTCCGGAGCAGTGCCTGTGGCCGCAGGCGTTCCGACGGTGGTGAACTCTCGCCTCCACCCCACGCCCTGGGCCCCCTCGCCACCTCCGCACCGCTTCTCGACCAGGATCGGCCCGCACCGACTCGGCACGCCGGACCCACTCGGAAGGTGCGTCGGGCGAGGCCGCATCGGCACGACAGCGACATCGGGTCGGATCGGCTGCGCCAGGATGCACAGCAGCGCCGTGCCAGCATCGGGCCGCATGGGATCGTCGGGCTTTCGAACACGAGAATCGAATCGGGTCGAGCCAGCAGAACCCGATGTCAAACAGGATCGATCGGATCGGACACGGACCCTGTCCCCCTGCTTCCTGGGGAGCCCAAACAGGACGTGACGCGCCCAACCGCGTGCATCAACACTCTCCCAAGTTCGCGAGGCATCACTCATGACACGAGCGCTCGCGTAACGCGTTCTCTCGAAACGCACTGATATTGTATGTGCGCATATGTCCTTGTTTCGCTTCTGGCCTTTCTCCTCTATTTGTATGTTCCCGCTGTCGGGGGTCCGCGCGGACTCCTTGCATCGGCGCTGGAACCCCCTCCCTGGCGCGGGGAGGGCGCCAGCGGCGGCGCAGGAAGCGCGCCAACGGCGGCGCAGGAAACGCCGCCAAGGGTATCCAGCGCCGACCAGAGAAATCACCGCAGACCTCCAAGCATCTATGTTTATGAAGGGGCCCTGGGACACACAAATAAATACACACACAAGTAACAGGATTCCCCATAGTTTCCCATATGTTCTGGGCTTTCGTCTTCCCCCCCCCGCTTCCCACATTTCCCCATCTGTTCCTGGGAGTCGACGATTCATTGTGCCTGTGTGTTTCTTCCCCTCCTGAGTTAAGGCACCTTGTTTCCTGACCACGGTCGATAACTTTTGGTCAGCGTGCTGCGGCGGCGACGCCGGCGATGCTCTGCGCCCTGCGAGCGAACAGCGCGTCGCTCTGCCTCGCAGAGGAGGAGGAGGAGGAGGAGGAGGAGGAGGAGGAGGAGGAGGGGGAGGAGGGGGAGGAGGAGGAGGAGGAGAAGGAGGAGGAGGAGGAGGAGGAGGAGGAGGAGGAGGAGGAGAAGAGGAGGATCGATCGATCGATCGCACACCATGGGCTCCATCCTGGACTTGCCTCATGCTCTGGGCAGGGCGAATGGCGCAAAAGCGAGAAGGGAAGCACGCGGTGGCCTCCTGCAACTCGAACTGGAGCGGTGAGCCTGATGGCTTCAGGAACGCGCCTGCGGGCTAGGCCTCGAGGCGACGGGACGGCGTCTCACGGGAGCATCTCGCTCCCAAGACGCGGTCCCCGCGGTCACCGACGTGTGAGGGGACCGTGGGGGGCTTCCCGATTTTCCCAGAGGGCCCAGCACCCCCAAGAAGGAAAGAGAAGACGAACGACACGGAGGCGGAGGAGGGGGGAGAAGACGAACGACGACAAGCAAGAGGAACCCGCGGAGGCGGGGGGGAGACAGAGGGAGAGAGGCCACGGAGCCAGAAGAGAGGGAGAGCAGGGGAGAGAACGACGACGACAAGGGGAAGCAGAAGAGCAAAGCAGCGAGGGGAGGGTGCTGGTCCAAAAGAGCCTGGGTAAAAAGTTATTGTGCTTTCCATTGTTTTGCGAGCTCGAAAACCCTCTCACTGCCACTCATGGCTCGAAACTGTGGCGTTCCTGGCATAATATTTCTGGATGCAAGATAATCTGTTACAACACGGAGCCTGGATGAAGGAGGAGTGCTCTGGCGTAATTCAGATTCAGAGGCTTCCAATCGGCGGGCTCGGAATATTGCTCGATCTGTGCCCCCATCCAGCAGAGGTAAACCTGGTGTCCTGCCTGCTGTCCGATCAACATTCGCAGCTGTAAAATCTGCTCCAAAAACTTGTGATAATTCACTGATCTGGCCGTCCCAGAACTCAATGACTTCCCGAGGACGGTCATCAGGCAGGCCACCGTGGCGACTGGCCAGCTCTCGTGTGCGGGCCGCAAGTCTCACTGGCCCTCCATGGTCTCCAGGAGCGTCTGAAGCTCCCTCTCTAAATGACTGCTCGGTGCACGCCCCTGCTTCAACTCCATCTGGTCGATGCCCTTGCAGGCGCTCAGGATCATCTCGCGGAACTGCGGGTTGCGGAGGCACAGCGTGATTTTTTTCTTCCCCCTCTGGAAAACCTTCTCCACTTTGCAGATCAAGACCAGGTCGCACTTTTTCTCCACTGGGTACTCTGCGTACTCGTCGTGGGCTTTCACAATCTCTGCGTGAAGTTCGCGTGTCATAGTGATCGGTTGGTCCGTGCCGTTCGGGTTGACGTTCTTGAAGGTCTTGAGCATTCCGCCCATCGCCCAGATGTGGGGTGGGCCCAAGGTGTGGTTCTTCTGGTTCTTGACCGCGTCGCTGTACATGGATGTTTGTTCTTGCATGGCCAGCGCTATCTGCGCGTCTTCTGGTACCAGGAAGACGTCTAGCAAGGCGCTCTGCATCTCCCTCATCTGCTGGGCGGTGCGCAAGGTCTGGCGCATCATCAGCCCCCAGGCCTGCTTCTCGCCCTTCGCGAAGCCGCGGGCCAGCACAAGGCCCGCCTCCCTCTTGCCGTCGTCCGCTGCCGGTCGTGGGCGCACCGCCCTGGGTTGAGCCTCGCTCGAGGCTGCTGCTCCTGACGCCGCCCGGCTGAGCGTCGCTGGCATCCGCTGCTCGCCGAGGGTGCGCGGGTCGAGGAAGTGCGAGCCGCGGGAGAGGAATGGGAAGGTGCTCCCGTCTGAGGTGGTCGTGGTATGCAGGGATTGAGCCAAATGGTGGTAGATCACATAATTTGCAGGATAACGATGATGGCACTCGAAGCTCCCACGTCATGTGGGCACGTCCCAGCTGGCAACGACCATTAGCATACGCACGTTTGAGATGATGCTGTGTTGTGGAGACGTCACGAAATACAGAGCAGCAGTTTGGACATTGATTCATAATAATACCCGATGCTAGGATAGAGCGGATACCGTGATGAGCTGTTTGATGTGCTAGAAGTTGCTGATAAGTATGAAAGTCGAGACCACAACTCTGTTGGTCAGCGCCAGTTATGTTGCATACGAACGAACCCTTGACCGAGGTGGTGTGAGTATTAGGTTCAACTTTAGGAAACAAGCGGTCCCAATGTTGTTTATCCGTGAAGACCGCCATGCGTAGGATGCCAGGATCGAGCTGAAGAAATTCATACGCTGAGTCCGAATTCACCTTGAACAACTCATGCCACGAACAGCCTGCCGATTCCCAAACCTCGAAGAAAGTTTCCGTGCCACTGATTCCCCGATACCAGTCTAGGTCTCGTGCAAACTGCCTAAGCCATGGGTTAGCCGTGCTACTCAGCGCGCCCGAGGAGGCAAGTGCGGGTGGTTCGTGTAGAATATGACCAAGTAATACAGATACTGTCTGGACATGTGCGTATGTGCGCTGTACCATGCTCTGAAGCCACCGAACCCGTCGGACTGCAAGTTCGCCTGCGCTCGGCAGGATACGCCAGTCACGCAAGAGCTCGGCGTTGCTCCACGATACTGCGCGTGTGCCTCCCCAGTCCGTGGCCGAGCCTTTCATAAGAACTCGGAGATAGCGAACGATGATCGTGTCGATACGCGCGTGCTCCGACGGAGTCAGAACAAACGCCTCGAGCCCCGTGAGGCCCTTTTCGACCACCGTGCTCAGGAACAGTTCACGCTTAAGCCTACGCAGTCCTCGTTCATGCCAGAACATCCCCATCATGCTCCATCCTCCCCTCATCCCCTGAATGCGTAACTCCACCTCTACACTATTGTTGCCCTTCATGGTGTATCGTACTCCTAAGTGCCGCGCATGTGCCTTAACCATTCCATGTGTAGGGGGCATAGATCTTGTAGTTGACGATTAAGTAGAGTAGAGCCAAGGTATGGGACTATATCCTTCTTGCTCATGTTCTGTGAGAAAGACCACTTTGTAAAAATCCGATTCATAATTGTATCATTCTCTGCGATGTCCTCAATAACCTCCTGCACGTTTAAACCGCACGGTAGAACTCGTTTGCGAAATATGTCATCGGCAAAGCCCGAAATAGAGACATCAATGCCAGGTGAATCAACTGCATCGGTGTGGACTTCGCTGTACGCCAGGATGGGGGTGTAAGTAGGGTCCGATCTCAACTCCTCGATCGTATCGTGAAAGACCCCCACGAACTGTTTGGGCATCTCACATGACCCCTGAAAGCCCCCGTTCTTAGTCAAGAAAAAGTGCCGCTGATCGTGCAGCTTGAAGCTAACGACGCCATTCATGATACGTTGTTTGGCGAAAGCCTGGAACTCTGGAATAACAACCCGCGTACTGACCTCCAGTAATGCCTCCGAGCTTGGACACATAAATGCATTGCTAAGGTCGTGTAACTCGTTAAGATGTGGGATGTTCAATCTCCGTAATGCGTGCCCTACCCTCTGCTGGACCAGGATGGCCCCCTCTCGACGCCGGTGTCGCAAGAGGCCGTGCCACCATCCAGGGAAGCTAGAGTCATACTGCTTAGCCTGCTTGTTGCCACTGTACATAACTGCATACATATATTTCCATAGCGTATCTAGCAAATGGATAACACGAACACTCTGCATCTTTTCCTTGTTGTTGCTTTTATCTAGGAAAATGCCCTCGGTGGTGGTGGCCTTGGTTGGTAATTGTTCCATGCGTAAGCTATGTATCAGAATCTCCACGAACTCTTGGCGGGGTCGTAAGAACCTGGCTGTCATGTCCAATCTATTCACTCGTCCGTCACTGGCTCGAAATTCTGAATCCACTGCTGCAGGAGGGGCGACGTCCGACTGGGATGCGTACTCTGCTGGCAACTCTTCCTCCTCCTCGTCCCCCTCATTTTCCCCCACTGGTGGAAAAAAATCATCTTCTTGAACTCCTGACGGAAAAGGCTGAGCCTTCTGGGAAGCAATAAGGCTATCTCCTGGTCGGTCTCCTGAGGGTTCCTGTGTTTCAGTAGCATAGCCGAGCCCAAATCTCGTCGAACGAGTCTTCGAGAGGTGCCCAGGATCTAAAACCATGAGTGCTACTTCCACTGGGACACTCCAGCTAGTAGTGGCTCGGCGCTTTTTTGCACGTCTGAGTTGACTGACCAGTTTGTTCACCGTGATGTCTGCGAGCTTTTCCATGGAGTGATTGCGCTCCATGACGCCAGCTAGGGGTGGTAAGGCCAAGAACTCCGCTAACTTAGTAGGATAGTCCTCCAGGTACTCCGCCTCCATGCCTCCTTCCGCTCCCCTCCTCGATATTGACTCCTCCAGCTCCTGAAAATCGGGGGTAAAGCTAGATATATGGTTGTACTTCCGCTGCTTCACCCCCGTCGATCTGCCTGCTAGCACTCTGGAGAGACGATGAACATCCGCCTGATGCCCCCGGCGGCGGGCCTCGAGGAGGTCCCGGTAGGCATCCCCCCGCTTCCTGGCTCGGGAACGGCGGAAGAGTCGTCTAAGATGTCCACTTAGCCGTTTTATACGCCTGATACAATCGAGGTGTTCCTCAGAGTAGCAAGAGAGAGACCCGTATGCCATCCAGTAGCTGTGTGCTTCCCATCTCCGATGAAAACGCTCACGTACAAGTGCGAGTCTTTCACGTCTAAGTACGCGGTGCACATCATTCTGTGGTATGGGTGCACGCTCGAAGTGTTTCCGTGCCGTGTCTTGAACGATCGCGATCCAACTATCATAGTGCCTGTCTGTGTGCGTGTCCTCCTTACATGCCGTGAACGCGTGCTCTGCTGAAGCGAAACGTACTTCAAGTTCTGCATGGAAAGGTCTTCGATGAGTACCCCTTTGCAGAGCCTCCGCCAGTTTGTTATAATCCCAAAGAAAATGCTGAGGATCGGGGATGAAAACTGGGAGAGCATACTCAATTTCCAAATACACAGGTAGATGGTCCCGAGGTCGTGCACTAGGGATGAGTTGCAGCTCACGTCCCTTCTTCCATGCAACATGACACTTGCGAATTCCTGGCGCCAGACTCCTAGGGATAAGGAACATGTCTATGGTGCTCGTCTCCCCTCGTGTCCCGTAGAACGTGGGGCCCGCCGTGTTCGAGAACGTGCACGGTGCAGCAAGGTCCAAGTCCAGGATAAGATCAGCAACAAGTGTGCCCCCCAATCCTTCCCGTCCGACGTGATGGGGTCCGATCTGCTCCCCTGCTTCATCTCTGCGCAACCCGTCTGAGGTGAGGCCGAACCCTGAGTTTATGTCCATGCCTACCACAACCGTACTGCGTGCACTAGCCTGTTCCACACGTGCGCGTAGATGTTCATGCGTGCTGCGGATTGCCTTCATCTGAGCTCGCCGTTTCGCTCCTGCCTCATATACCGGAGGTGGGTACACCGTGATGAGAGTGAGGTCCAGTCCTGGGCCTTTGACGCGTACCTCTCCGTATCTGCCCAGGATGTTCGGAGGGCCCGCGTGCACGTGCTTGACATAGCTAGGGTGTATGCGTCTGCCCAGAATAATGCAACAGCCCGCACTCGAATTGGTGTGTGGTGCTCTGCCCCATCCGAAATGTACTGCCACACGGCGAGAACTCAACCGCTCCACGTGGTACGTGCGCCCCCCCCACTCGCGTACACATGTGCCCTGAAGGAATACAACGTCCACGTCAAGGTGTGCGGCGATCTCATCTACTCTGCCAGCGGAGACCAAGCTTAACGGATTGTACGTGACGAACTTTAGATTCATGATACTGCCAAGAAAGATCTGTACGAGGGCCCTGGGAAAGAACTGCCCCCCACGCACGTCACCTGCACGCATCGGAGACCAGGCCTAGCCGTAGTCAGGTGCACGCTAAAGATGTGGTGTACGCGCAGTCGCCTCAAAGGTGTGTTCGGTACGTATGATTTGAGGCTGAGAAGAGGAGGAGGAGGAGGAGGGGGAGGGGGAGGGGGAGGAGGAGGAGGAGGAGGAGGAGGAGGAGGAGGAGGCGGAGGAGGAGTGCGGAGGGAGTGAGGAGGAGGAGGAGAGGAGCGGATGGCGGAGAAGAGGAGGAGGAGGAGGAGGAGGAGGAAAAGAAAGAAGATGAGGAGGAGGGAAGAGGAGGCGGAGGAGGAGAGGAGGAGGAGGCGGAGGCGGAGGGAAGGGGAGGCCGGGAAGAACTCGGGGCGTTGTTGGTGCCCGGCGACCGCCGACGAGGTCGGCGCAGGACGGCGTGCCTGACCGCACGTGGCTGCCTCCGGTCACGCCTGCTCCTCCTTCTCCTCCTCCTCCTCCTCCTCCTCGTCTTCCTCTTCCTCTGCCTCTCCTCCGACCTCGCCTTCCTCCTCTCCTCCTCCTCCTCCTCCTCCTCATCTTCCTCCTCCTCCTCCTCCTCCTCCTCCTCCTCCAGGTCGGGGGCGCCCAAGAGGGGGTGACGGCTAGGGTGGGGGATAGCATGTCAGGCGACGCAATCACACTCCACATCCGCCTCTGCTTCCTCGTCCGCTTCTCCTCTTCAGACGCCCGAGATGGGTACGGAAGGAAGCAGGGTGCGATGCGCAGCAAGACGTGTTGTCCAAAGCCGACAGCGGCCGCTGTTGGGAAGGCGGCTTCCTGCCTCAAATGGACAACGTCCGCAGCAACGCCGACAGCGAACCCGGCCCGAAACGGGCACGAACCTCGCATGGTCTGCGCACCCATTCCCAGACATGTGGCTGCTCCAATGTTTTCGATGCGTGGGCCCCCAAGTAGAGGGCAGAAGATCCACCCCGATAATCACCACCCCGACACGCGAAGCAGTTT